AAAGTAACTACAAACTTACTAGGAAAAAAAAAATTTCTCTGCTCCCTGCCTTTACTGTAGATGTTTCATTTATGCATCTGCCTAAACTATGCTCAAGTTAAGGTCTGTAAATGGGGCAAACGTGACCAACAGGGATTGTTCGGGAGCTAGCACAACTGTTAGGCTGAACTGCAGCAGCCCAGAAGCTGCTCTAAACTGTTGCTGGAAGCCCACAACCCAAACAAGTATATTTTGCAAACAAACAAACATCTGGACACCATGCTTCAGCCCATCTAGACCTCCCACAAACACAGATGGAAAGGAGTTGCTCTAAAAACTGAGGAAATTCCTAAGGAACTAGGTAAGATGGTGTCCCGTTTTTGGTTTGGTTTTTTTTTTTTCATACAGCGCAGTACAAGGAACCAGTGATGGGGTCAGCTTCAACTCAGCTTCACCAAATTTGAATGGTTTTGCCCTCTCTTTCAGCAGCCTTCCACAGATACACAATGACCCATCCCATCACTCAGTAATCTGGTGTAGTACCAATACCCCTCACGTACTGGTGGAGGCTATGTAACACTCAGCAGTTACAGCAGGGAGACAGCAAATCTCTCCCGTTACAAGCCTGACTAGTTTGTCGTTGGCTTGCAGGGACGTTAATTCTTCACCAGGTCGTGTTAAGACCCATAAATAACAATTTGAAAAATCTAATTAGGAAGGACTCATAAAAGCTGGGCTATACCACCTAGCAGCAGGTCAGGTGAAGGTAAGTTTTGGGAAAACGAAGCCTTCCATTACAAAACAGGGCTACTGCTGTCAGCAGCAGGAGTTTTCAGTTACAAAGCCAGCAGAGGGCAGCGTAGAAGCTGAAGGCAGGCTTGGATTTTTTCAATGGACATGTTAGAGCATGTTTTCCTGAGGTATGAAAACCTCACCATTAAAATATGTGGCATTAAACTCGAGTAAGATAATGCATTCGCCTAGCAAAAGCACCGTGTTGCTCCTTACGGTTATAACTTGTATGATTGAGGAAACATGACTAACTGAAAGGGGATTTTTCTGAAGTAGGTTTTGCGTAGCTGAAGGTGCTGTTTAAAAGAAAATCGTGTTATAGACATATTGTGACCCTGAAGGTTATCGGGAAGGACTTAGTATAAGAAAAATCGTAACTTTGAAAAACTCTCAAATAAAACATTTGAAAATACAAAAAAAAATGCACTTTCAAAGCATAATTTGCTGCTGTACTTTGAGATAAACTCTTTGTACCTTGCAAGTAGGAAAAAACCTTGAGGAAAGAAAAATTTTGTAAGTGCGGGTATATGGATTTCATAATTTATTGCACAGATTTAAAAATTGCACAACATATAGGGTACGTATTCTTTGCTACAGCTTTTCAAACCTGTACATTTTTACTCATTATTGGGAGTTTCTTTAAAAGAGGCAAAGACTTAAGGAAGGTGTTTGTGCAGGTAAACAAACAGATTTCTGTGTGTGAAATAACTGCAATTTTTTTCCCCCTCTGTTCCACTCTCTCTCAGTGGATCTGGAACACATTCCAAGAATACGCTAAGAATACACTTCAGGAGGGAGAGCCTGGGTAGCAGAAGGGCTTCGTTCTATTTATGATTAATTTTATTGAAATATTTAATTGTATAAATACATGCATTTATATGGTGCATAGGTGCCAAACCCCAGGCATTTTTATTTCCTGCACAAAAAAACCTGTATTTTGGGAAGTTGCTGCTGATGAGAGTCTTCATCTCAAAGCTGTGGCCAGTCAGTTAAACACAGGGCTTGGACTTGAGCATCCTGGAAGTAAAAAGCGGGGGGGTTGAGAGAGGTTTGCTAGCCTGAAGGAAGCCAGCCCAGGGAGCAGACAGCAGGTAGCGAGCCTGCGTTGCCAAGTAGACCAGCAGCTGGTTTTCGTCCCATCTGGCGTTTCCTACACGGCAAACGCTGCGCAGCCCGGGCTAGTTCTCCAGCATCATCCAGCCAAGCGATGACAAAGGTGTGAATAAGCAAGGTCAGGTCATATTTTGCCAGACTAGATCAGAGTCGCCAAGCAGAGAGTAGCAAACGTTACTCATTGGGCTTGGCCGTTATTGTTTAGAAATAGTGGAATATGTGATGTGTCTTCCAGCTAACTTACTGCATCCGTTTGTAGGCGGCAGGATTTTCCAAACATGTAAAGGTACAGAAAAGCTGCGGGTGTACAAAATGATTAAGATGTTTTTGAAAAGCATGTCCAAAATTCTCTGCCTCCTAGGAGGAAGTGGTCTGCCATCCAGAAAGTGATGTCAGTGTGCTGTGTAACAATGTCCTAGGAAGACAAGGTGAGGAAGGAATGTAAAAGGAGAGGAAGAAAAGTAACACTCACTCATTCATTCTCTTCTCCTTCACATGTAGTATAAGCCTTACAACACGGCTGTTACTTTCATTGCTCTCTGCCTTAATCTAGTTGTTGAAGCAGAGTTGATGGAGAGAGAGAAGGGTCTCCCCACTTGCACACGTGCATGGTCTTGGCCAGTCCTGTTACTGAAGGAAATGGTGTAAAATAAGGACCTGCATAAATGGCAAACTGCACAGGAAGGTGGAGGTAGATAGGTTATGATGGTCCAAGGAATCAAAAGTGATTTAAAAGCAGGTCCCGACCTGTTTTACAAAGTGATACCTATTCCTGTCTGCTGCTATTTACGATGCAAGCAGTCATGTGTACGCTCATTGCATGGATGACAAATGCCTTTCAACACTTAACATCTTTTCATTCATGTTTACATCGGTCATAAATACAACAGGTAGAATGAAGATTTTTTTTCCCCTCCATTACTCACTGTCTGGGGTTGTCTAAGGGATTTTTTTTTCCCCAATAATTTTCTTAACCTGTTTCCCAAAAGAGAACATTCAAAACAAAGCAGTGGGGTACTAACGATTACTTGGTTAGGTTACAAGTGTAAACCTTTCCAGAAAGTCATCCTGGTGTTGGATGATTTAAAGCTCCAGGTACCACATTTGCAGCAAGAGGGAGAGTTTTTAAAACCACAGTGCAGTGCCTGCAGCCAAGCTCTGATCCCGCTGATACAACCAGGTGTGGCCCAGCGAGCTTCAGCTAGGGACTCACGAGTTACACCTGGGGAAAATGAGACCAGACAGCAAATCCCAGTGGTGTTTTTCCTTTCTTCTTGCTTTGGGTTTAGGTATCATCTAGCAGAGATTCTGGACATCCCACAGAGAAGTTCACTGCCAAAAATGACATTCACAGGCATTGATTTCTGGGGAACTGAGGAGAGAAAACGTTCTTTCTGTTTGATTCAAACTGCAGTTTTCTGCCTTCAGCAGTCCTCCTTGGTCTCGGCAAACCATTTGGCTGAAGAATGTGTTTTCTAGAAAATAACCCCTGTAATCACAGCGCACGTCAGAGTTGCCCCTGCTTTGCTTTCATTCCCTCTTTTAATCAGTACAGTACTTGAACCCAGATGCTGTTAAATATTTACAGAAGGAATGAAATCCTGAAGTCACAAGCCACGGGGAAGCAGATATGTGACTACCCCCTTAAAGCACATCCTTTGATTTATCCTGAAGGAAGATTGGTATTTCAGCTTTTAAATATTCCTCCTACACATAAGTCTGCCATGTATTATTAAAAACCAGACAATGTTTTGAGCTGGACACTCATCCCATAATAATTCCCTTCTGTGGAAATACTTCCCCATAGCCTTTTAAATGCATGTATCGTCACAGATCTGTCCCTATACTCTTCCTCCTGCTGTAAAATGATACAAGCATTTTTTTATCATTACTTACTAATTTGAAACCCATGTGTGACTGATGTGGAAAAGAGCCTGGTAAGCTGCGCCACTGTACTCATTCTGCTCACCACAGGGCACTTTAAAATCTGAGAAAAATACCTGTTTTAAAAGGAACAAGTTTTGAAAGTATGGCCAGTGCGTGTGAGATGATGATTAAACATGGATTTTAAAAAGCAGGAAAACTTGTAATCTGTGGGAAGAACGTCATGGGCTGAGCATGAGGGCACAAGGAAAAGCTGACCTTTTCAGTTACAAAAAAATAAAAAACCAGGATGTATGAGTTGAGTGAAAGCGTCACTTTTCCACTTGGAAGCAGTGCTTTTTGATTAACGGCTTGACTCAGCTTACTGGGCAGTTCCTATCATGCGTCGTTAGCTGGGTAGTACAGTATGAGTTGATAGTCAGCCAGAGGAAGGTTACCGGTATAGTCAGGCCATGGAGTACTAAACCTGGAGTATGATTAACCAGCAAGCACTCAGGCAGGGGGGTTGTGATGAATTTCACTGGAGGAGGGTTCTTGCCCATCGTCGCTACTCGGCCAGAGTCACTGCAGAAATTCCAGTTACATTTAGCAAGATTAGAGGCACATCTCTGCTGAAGCAAGCAGCTTTGCTAGATTATTTGGAAGCCGCCTTCATCTTGCATTCTTTAGTTCTGATAATATTAACACAAGCAAATTATTCTTTTCATTTCTTGTCTAACCTGGAACTTCAGTGCAGGAAGTATTTATCTTGGTACTGCTAACTTTGAATTTTTATACAGGATACATGACCATTTTTTCCTATTTTATTGTGTATCGGTTTTCCACCGACAAACCACTTTCTGTGATTCATCCCGACAAATCTCGCTATCTGTAAACTGACTGTCATTAAGGGTTGATCATGCTTTCTCAAAACATGTTAAATTACGGTTGTTAAGGCTGAACGTAGTGGTCTAACACTTTTTCAATATTATCTCTCTACTAGGTGCTGTTCTAGATGAAAGCACTGGAAAGGTGTTGGTCGTACAAGACAGAAATAAGGTAAGTTACATGATTATAAAATAGAGTTCATTTAGATAAGCCTACTCTGCAGCATAAATCAAAGATCTTTTTCTTTTCATTCCAGTCCAAAATTGTGACAGTTAACTTGTGTGTGTCATGGAACACATCTAGCAACACATTGCTATTTGCATTTGAAGGAAAAAAAAAAAATAATATAAAGACCTTGAAAATCTTCAGTTTTGTTGTTAACTATAACAGCAGAATTGAGCATCCTTTCTGCTTAGAGTTTTCTGTTTTCCCTTGTAACTGACCCAGGAATCCCTGCTCCTGTGTTTGGAGCCATGCAGACCTCTGCAATACCCCACGGCTCAAAGAAGATTTTGGGAGAAGGACTCTGATTCTGTTTGGTTTCAAAAATTCCAGGCATATCTGTGGCTTCAAATAAGCAGGAACATGGTTGGCCATGGGCTGGAGACCACCTTGTACAGCAGGTGCAGAGATCGTTAGTTTCTCACAAACTGAAGCGCTTGACCTCACTACCGAGAATGCCAAACCAGACTGTTAGTGCGGCCATGGTGGGTCGTGTGATGTGGCTTGAGGTAACCCAGCATCCATCCCTGGTCGTGGCTTCCAGCCTCTGTCAGGCTGGATTTTAACGCAGCAAGTGCAGAAAGCTGACTAGCTCATTAGCGGTTAGCTCTGCTAGTCCAACTTAAAATATACTTCGCTTCCGTTATGCATTTGTAAACTAAGTAAGTGTCTCCCGTACAGTCAGATTAACTGCAGTTTTAACATGGAAACAATCAAAATGCACTAACTGAAGTATACTCGGGTGCATCATTTGCATTTGATATAGTTAAAACTATGCCAGAAGCTCACTGGCTGCATTTTTCTGTCTTTCCTGAAACAGCTGCTAAGAGATTTCTTCTCAGGACCCAAACCATCACTTCAGTTCCTTGGTAACCAACAACGTGGTTAAGGACCTTCAATGAAAGGGTTCTTTCTTCAGCAGGCTCAGTCATACAACATGTAACACAACACCCTTGTTTCCTCTAAACTATTAATTTTATATTTTTACTTCTCATAAAGTAAAATTTCAAGGACTTCTCTATAGCAGGACCATCAGCAATTACCAAGTAAAGCATAAATCCAGCGTGCAAACTATAGGCTCCTAAGGCAGTTACAGTTCTCACGAGGCTCTGGGAACCGATCAGCACATTGCAAACTTTAGAGATGCTACCTTTATTGTTACTTTTGTGCACACAGAAATTACAGAACTGCTTACCTTTTAGTAAGTGTCTTAAACAAGTCTCAAAGAATAAAACCGGAAATTGCACATTCTGCATATTTCGTAGGAAAAAGTCGTTTCCTAAGCCCAGGAGGCTTAAAGTTTTAAGGTTTAACTTCTTAACGCTGTGGTTTTGTTAAAGCTCACCCACAGCCATTTTAAGGGCAGACACCTCCATCCAGTTTTCCAGTGGGACATCAGGTGCTCTGCTCAGGTTCTAGGTCCAATTCCGTACTGGCCAGACATCGCCTCCTCAGCCTCTGGCCCCAAAACGCAAGAGGGCCAGCCTAGCACCGTTCTTCCCTCCAGCTCACGCTGCAAAGCGGGACGGGTATAGCCGACTGTTTCAGCGTACCTTTCCCAAACACAGTTTGCTGCCCAGCAGAGCGAGCGAGGAAGCTGAAAGGATAAAAATTATTCTTTCTGACTCCCCTCTGTACAGCTGTGTTTTACTGAGTGGAGAAAAATAAGTACAAAACCTGAAGTGTACAAGTACCTGTACGCTTCTTACGCAGTGAGCAAATAAAATACTTCAGTGCAAGCAAATTGGCTCAGGCAGTGTCTGTTTCCCACTGTCAGTTCCACCCCTCCTCTCCCTTCGCCTTCCCCGTGAAATGAACAATTTCCCTGAAATGGTGACTTCTCATACAAGTGATGTTCTAAAAGCTTAAAAAAAATTTGAACAGCTAGTAGAATTCTAAGAGCTTTTCGGGTGTAATCATGAAAGGACAATTCCACAGCACACAGAGATTTCCAGGAACTGAAAGCCAATAGACAAATGTATGTATTTTCCATCTGAACTATTTTTAATCCATTACTTTAAATTCGTATCCAAGCGCTTTAAGAGTTCCCAGAAAAAAATATTTTCCAGTGTAGTCGGTGGGGTTTCAAATCCCTGGAAAGCACATGACTTCCCTCTCTGTGCTGCATGTACAAGACAAGGTATCTTTTTTTTTTTTTTTTGACCAGAGCATACCTTTTTACTGCGTTAATTTCTAGCTGAAGGTTAACTTCCTCCTCCATAAACCTTTAATAAGGAAAGAAATAAAAAAAAAATAGTACATAGATGTAAAGGTAAAGCCTACAAATCTTTATGCATTTGCAAGAGGGGACTCCTTTACCAGTATCAGAAACAGCACCAAGTCTGCACTTCGGATTCTGTTTTAAGTACTGAACTTTATTGCAATTCAATAAATGCTTCTCTATATAACTCACACACGAGGCCTCAGGTTTTGTAATCCGTGAAAACAAACGACAAGTTACACTAAATGGTTATTACAGACACACAAAGTCATCTTAAAGCCAGTGCAGTATAGAACAGTACTACAATCATGATACCTGTTTGTAAGATTAAATATATACACACAAAAAGCCAAAACCATGGAAGTGGAATACATTAGTGATTAAATACAAGATTATATAGTCTATAGCAGCTTTTTTTAATATTCAACTACTCTAGTTATCTAGCAGCAATGTTGTCTAATGACTGTTAGACAGTTTGTGTTTTCAATCAGTAGATGTTTTGTTCCAATATTTCATACAGACTGTAGATACCTCTGATCGTCACATTAGCAAGAACAAAGAGGTTCCTACTTAAAGCCTTACTGATGTTTTTTTAAGAGTAATTACAATAGTGAAACTTCAACAAAAAAAAGTTACGTGTTAATTGTCTCCTTCATATCAGAGAGTACAAAAGAGGCTGCGTACTTCATTAGTATTTTTTTCCTCCAATACAGACTCTAAATGCATGGAAATTTCCAGGAGGTCTGTCTAATCCGGGCGAAGACATTGGTAAGTCCTAGGATAACAGGTCAGACGTCAACAGAATTACAAAGACATTAAGAGTAGTGAAATACATCGTGACCCGTATCACTCCTATGACTCATCACTTCTTTGAATTAATGGGGAATAGATGAAGTGACATTATCCCATGACCTTAATGGTAATGGGGTAACATTGTGTTCAGGGCAGAGCAGCTTTATATTTGTAACACTTACCCTTTTCCACAATTTCTCTTAAATGAGTGCTCGAAGCCAGCTTATTTTTTGTAGGCTTGTTGGATATGCTGTAACATGAGCCAAAAGCACAGCGCATTAAGGTAATCCCTATATAACCCAAATAGAACTGAAACTGCGAGCTCTTGGCTCACACTGGAATCCAGGGCACCGAGCTCAATGATGCACTGAGTAAAAATTTCCAACTCCCCATTTTTATGTGCAAACCAGAAATAAATACACTTGCTTCCTTCCACCCTCGTTCATTGGATTTGTTTAGACTAAGAGCTCCTTGGCGCAGGACCAGTGTTAAGTGCAGCGCCCGAGTCTTGTGGGCACCTACTTTCAACCAGAGACATAAGGCACTTCTGTACGAAAAATCCTGATTTGAGGAAACCAATCACTTCTCCCTGGCATAGCAGAGGTGACGGTGAGCACTGTTGCAGTTACGTTCAGAGGAGAACGAACGAGGGTGTTAATGAAGAGAGAGATAATTGTGCTTTTTCTCCCTGTATCTCACCCCTTAAAGTGACGATCCACAGACCGGTTAATTCTTAAATTGTACTGCAGTTACTAGGTAGGTCTTGTTTTCAAAAGCTGCATTTGCTGACATTAATTTAGCCCCACGTCAGTACTCAGATACGAATATATTCTTCAGTAACTCAAACACGTTGCCCAGAGCCATGCAGCAGCTCTGGCAACCTGGGTACCGAGCCCAGCTTTCCTGACCGTTTTGTACCTTAGAAGTAGCTGCTATTTTTAGCAGTCTTCCTAAAACCGTGTGTAGAGGGCTTGTATTCCAGTTCATTATTTCAATCCGTGGAAAAAGTTTCTAGTTAGCGGGATATGGCTGAGTTGTAGTTTTCACAACTCATCAGTCACATTTTAAGACTTTTTGTCAAACACTGTGATAAAAATCAGAATTATCTGCTTAACAATGCAAATACACGTAACACAGTGAAACGGATCCATGTTTTCAGAAGAATTCCAAACGCCCCGTTTGTTGTCAGGCCAGGCTCCCCTTCACTTCTGGGAGATACCAGAGGGAGTTCCGTACTGGGGGAATGACCAGCGCTGGCAGCAGCTTCCCCAGAGGAATGCTGAGTAAAGGCAGTGGCCACCCCTCAAGTAACAGGCGAGATTATGGCTGGAGCCTGGGTGTAGGTATTGAGAAACACCTGGGAGGAAACAAGTCTCTTACAGCTCCCCTCCTGCCACTACTAAACTATATAATAATAAAAGTTATGATTCTCTGCATCACATCTTAATATTCCAAGAAGATATAAATTAGTGAAGCATAAAATATAATAGAGCTTAATTTTACTTTTTTTTTATCCTTACATTAAACCTTATAAACTCACAGTCATTCAAGGGACTAAATCTCAAATTACAGTTACAAATTGCAATTACAATGCTTGAAGATCCTGTAATTATATAAAGTGACAAAATATATGGCTGCCTACTTTAACGAGCACAAACTGACTTGCGCAAGTCATCTGAATTGTTTCTAACGCAGATTAAGCAAAGTGCACACATTTTTGTATTTGAGTATTCCTGAAACTCAAACCCTAGTGTTTCTTCTAGTTTAACTGTCATTATATATTTTTATATATATGTACACATATTTAAATAAAAAGGAAACAGAAAAGGCACTTAATCTAAAAGCAAAGCTCAAAACTTAAATTAAATCCCTAATTATTTCATTTTTCTTACCATAGCCTGCTTCGGCATTCTCACGATCTCAGTTGTTCTCCTTCTTTGACCACTGTTGTGTAATACAGCCCCTTGCCTAACAATAAAACCACTTGCCATGGGGAGTCTGCTTCACAACCCCTATTTTCAACCGGAGGGCTGCAGAGGCCTCTCTGGGCAACATAAAAGGCAGCCTCTCCAGGGGTCAGTCACCGTGAACGAGTCTCTTCCCCTATGTACTTCTTCCCCCTACACAGCAGCCTTTTAACTAATTAATACTGTAAAAAAAAAAAAGAGTCACAAACATAAATGTTCTGCAGCCACCTACTATTAATGGGTCTCTGGTCCCAGAAAGACCTCTATATCCTTGGTGTAAACTTTACACAGCTCGTTCCACTGCAAGACGGAAGCTGAGCTGGGGCAGGAGGCTGTGCAGAATCGGGGCCATTAACATACAGTTGTTTGGCCTCTGCTGGGTAAATCATTTTGTCTCTATATTGCTAGCCACTGCCACTCTATGTCCTGAAACTATTTCTGATATTTGAAGCTACCCCTAAAACATCTGGTTTGTTCACCCCTGACGTGTCAAAGACACAAGCTTCCATAGGAAGGCAAATCTCTGCAGGCTCTTGTAAAACGTTTTTTGCTTTTGGAAGGCAGCACACTCATTTCTTACTGAAAAGGAACTACCTGAAGTGGGTGACATCGCAAAGCAGCCACGTGCATTTCCCACTCAAACAAGACACAACCATGAGTTTACACAGATTTGGAAAAGCTAGTATTTTACCTACCAGTAGTTACCCCGGGCAAGTAGGATTTGACTTGACTACAACGCAACTGCAGAATTGGGGGAAGTAAGCGGAGTACCAAAAATCTCACTTGGGCCCTTCAATTTAAGATACTATTCAGGACTCTTTTGAGGAGTACCGGATGGGTGGGTAATGCTCTGGCTGTAGCTGCAGCGCACAGACCCTCCAGACCCTGGAGGTTACGGCTGCTTTTGTAATGAGGAGTGTTAACACATCACTTCGGGTGACGTATACAAAATGTACACGTGCAGCATGGATGCAGCATGTTTTCTGCAAGAACGTATGGCCTATTTCAGACGTCACTTGACACTTAGGGTCCATTTTGAGAAGGACTTGGTGCCAACTTTCACTTCCTGCAAACAAGTGTGTTACCCATTTTCGTGCACCTTGGGGCAAAGTGCAATGGCACGCAGTGATCTGATCAAGTGATCCGACACATGCACAGGTACTCAGCCACGCAGGGTCAGAACCTGAAACTGGGTAGAGGCAAGGAGAGAGACGGGGGCTAAGATTCAAAGAGCTGAAAAGAGGGTGCAGCACGATCTTGGATTAAGAGATCGCTGGAGCCAGCGACTGTCAGAATGTCCGTTTCAAAACCACACCCATAGAGTATTCTCAAAAGTTTCTTACTTTCATCATTTTGTAGGATATACACAAGAAAGGCACGTAGCACTTAGTTTTGTTTGGGGACCAACAAATTAGCTCATCCTTGTGTCGAAACAAACAGGCTTGCGTTCTGAAAAGCTTATGAAGCAGAACAGAGAACGCTTCTTAGAGTTAAGATATTTTCCGTAATCGACAGGTTTAAAGAGGGTGAAGCTATTCTAACATGAACATATATTACGGATTGCTCTTTTCACCTAGGAGAGACAGCAGTTCGAGAGGTTTTCGAGGAGACTGGCATTAAGTCAGAGTTCAAGTCCATCCTAAGCATAAGACAGCAACACAAACACCCCGGAGCCTTTGGCAAGTCGGACATGTACGTCATCTGTCGCCTGAAGCCCTCCTCCTTCAACATCAGCTTCTGCCAGCAGGAGTGCCTGAGGTGTGAGTGGATGGACCTCGATGAGCTCACTAGGACGAAACACGCTACTCCCATCACCAGCAACGTAGCTAAACTCTTACTTTACGGATACCGGGAAGGGTTTGATAAGATCGATATAACCATGAGAGAGTTTCCCGCTGTCTACACAGGCCTGTTCTACAAACTATACCACAGGGAGCTGCCCGAGTCCTATAGAAACATTACATGATCGCAATACATTTCACATTTCATTATATTAATAATTTAGAATTAGTATTGTAGTGTTATTTAGACCATATTAAGATTATCCATGGACTTCTTTTTAGGTAATTATTAGAAAGTAATTATTTACTCTATTCTCTAATAAGCTATAGAGATATAAATTATTTCTAAAGGTAAATATTGCCATAAGTATGCATCAGATTTGTTTTCCTTTAGTCTGTAAAGCAAACCTAAGGTAAATAAAATAGCTCTACATAGATACCTAGCAGAAAACAGATATATTATTAATCCTGAAAATTGATTTTCCAAGTACTTTTACCCTCCACACACACTGGCACAATAGGTTTAAAGAGCAATATAAGGACAGCATGTAACATTCATGTTTTAATCTGCAAAGGTAGTTAGTATCAGCAAATAATTGCTTAGATTTTTGCTACTTCGGAGAGGAGGAGGGAACTCGACGTCTTTAGTGTCGCGTGGCATACGTGCCCGGAATCCACCATGGAGATCAGCTTTTCGCAGACATGGGAAGAAAAAGGATAGCTTTCTGTCCGGGTCCAGTCTTTGGTCCAGGTTTGTACTGTCCAGTTCTTTTCAGTGCCACATACCAATCGGAGTACTTCCGTGATCGGTAAGTGTTATAGTTATTAGATTCCAAACGCTCAAAAAAGAAACATTCTTCTGTTGCACATTTCTAAAAGGGAAAAAGAAAAGGGTTACTGATATTCCATCACAACAGATCAATTTTTCAGACTCACGGGACTAACTTAGCAAGAACGTCCATTAGCAGTACCTTTGGGTTTAAGGAATTCACATTAAATGTGTCACATTTAAAGAAAGCGGCATTGTTAAAATACAATTTTTAACTATGACTCATTTATTGTCTTGAACACAGACCAAGCAGATTCTAGTTGGTTTTCACTATGTAATCCTTTGTTCTGATCTGAAACTCGGTCAAACAAATGCAGAACCCTGTCGCTTGGTGCTCACTGATAGATCCTGACTTCCCGGCTCAGCAGTTTCGCCATCTCATCCTAAGGTTATAATTTAACCAAAAAGAAAAGCAGGATGTAAGAGGAAAGGGAGTATTTCCCTTGCCTTCCTCCAAACAACCTTTTTATCCGTTAGAGAAACAGTATGGCATAGTTTCAGCTGTTGTCTATTCTTACCAAATTTTGAGGTTTAACTTTCCTAAAGCTAATTCAAGCCAGTATTTATTTACAGTGCTCTGAAACAGTGGCAGGCCTGCATCTGTTCAAGCTTTTTTTTAAATGCAAAACTTTGGATTTTAAGAAAAGATCAGACCTGGCAAAGAGGCCTATTCCACATAGAAACCGAGCATGCTCGATGAGTGTTTACATCTATGGAATTATCCTGCTTCTGGAAGGAAGTCTTTAAAAACAGCTTCACCTACATGGAATTAACATGCCTTCACACCTACAAGTAAGAAGGAAGGTGCGTCTTCACAGGACGGGTAGAAGTTGAGGTATGGAGCCCCTTACTGCAGGAAGTTATGGTTTCCCCAGCTTACATGGATTCAGGTCACTTTTGGACAAGTTCATGGAAAAGAAATGCACTGAAATTTACTAAATAGGTAAAAACCATTCCTGGCTGAGAAGGCCCTAAAGCTGAGACTGGTCGGAGGCTGGGAGACCAACACAGGGAATTACTATGGGTGTCTTTTCTTATAGGCTGCACTGGATCCCCATCAGACAGAAGCTACTCAGCTGCGTACAAGCCCTCAAAGGGTAAGCCTGCCGATCACCAACACAGCGGGATGCGCTTTCTTCCGCACATCTCTGCACACAGCAGAAACCACTGCTCCCTCGGGGGGACCGTACTGGAGAGAGAGACTCCTCATTGCCAAAAGATCCTGTGCCCATCAGTGACATCATGTATAGTAGGCATTACCTGTTGCAAGACTTTAACCCACAAATTTTCCTGAATAGTTACTATTGCCTGGGGGACATAAAACCAAGCTAAATTCACTATGACTAGCAGTATATGTTCATAGTCAACAGGAAAGTTTATTCGCTTTCTGAAATCTACCACCAAGAAACCACATGGTACCAGAAACGTAACAGCTTCAAGATCTCACTCTGTAGGAAGAGGATCGCTGTCGGTGTTCAGCTGCATTTATCCCTGGTGTGACTCTGCCTTGGGATAAATGCAAACCCGCCTGCAGAACCGGCGCTTCAAGCAAGAGAAATTATTTTCTCAAATACCAAGATGGCCCGAGTTCAACACCACAGGAACGTACTGGAGCGGGAGGGGGGACACTTTATTTTCACAGGCACCATCTGCCAGTCCCTCCATTCAGTCACACTCATTTACCCAGAGAAGTGTTGGGAATGCCGGCGGAGGAGAAAAGCTAATCATTAAAAAGCAAGCATGTAAAATTCTTGGAGAGGAGACAGGGAGTGTGAAGCAATTTCCTAAATGAGCAGGCTGCTCTTTGCTATAATTTTCTGTTAATATTCATGAATATATAAAGTATCCAACGAGAACTAAAAAGTGAGCTTGAACAACTGGACTTCACACAGTATGCACAAAAACATGCAAGAGAAGAGTAACTCCTCATACACACCACGTTTCTGTAGCTACAAGCAATTAAGTCATTCACATGCAGTCCGAAATGAAGTGATCTGTCTCCAAACATGTCTTCAAATAGGAGGTTTTTTTCCTCCACTTCAACCATTTTCAGGTATGCATTTTGGTTTCTAAGGCAAAGAACTTTTAAGAGGAAATCCAAATGCAGTTTCTCAGTTCTGTAACTCACTAGCATTTTTACGTTTCAAAAAGCAGAACTTAAATTAACAATTTTCATATGATTCATATTTTAAATAATCTTTCTCAAGATAAATTGTATTTTAATGCCTTTCGTTCCGGCAATGTGGAAACATGCATTAATCACCTCAAGCCACAGATCCAAGCCTGAAATGGATTACAGCAGCCTTAAGAGGGCACAGACATAGTATACAGAAAAGAAGCATTTAAGAACAAAACCAAACTTTCAGCAGAGTTTAGGCAAGGTCAGTACAATTGCCCAAGCTGGAAATTCTGGCAGGGAGACCATCGCAGCCGGCTCACACCTCGCCTTCGCCTCCTACCCGAAGTGGTGGCGCTTCGGAAGCATCGAGCCAGCGGGTGGCACGGGCGCTGGGGAGGTACCGGGCCGAGCACGGCCTGCAGATGCCTCAGCAGCTGGGTTCTGTACACACGCTTCCCAGGCAATCCCCATCAGGTACGGCCGTGGAGCCAGGGAGTTGGCTCAGATGCCTGGCACCGGCGGGAACGGAGTCTTTACAACCCCCACTAGGAAGGAAACAGCTTCCACTGCGCCCATGGTGAATTTAAGCGGTCACTACCAGACCTCACAGACAGATGAAAGGCAAATTCGTACTGAATTCACAAAGTAGGCACAACCACAACTCAGAGAAACGCATCTATTTTATTTAGCCTTCCTCCTATCTCTCGGGCTTAAGAAGTAAAATAGATTAAACTCCTCAAACATTTTTTGGGCAAGTTATGGGTGTTAGGAAAAATAATCAAAAAAGGGTGAAAAAAGAAAAAGATGAAGTTGGGTGGTTTTTTTTTTTTACATTCATAAAAATATTTTGGAAGGTGCCATGTGATTCGCTCTGGCTGGAGACTCAAGTCCTTACTTCTCCACAAAGCATACGTGGTACCAGTGCTTTCCTACCGTACATTGCCAATGTAACTACTCTGACATAAAAGTGAACATTTAGGTGGCAAATGATAGTGCAGGCTTCATAACTATGTCTTCCTTCACATCTGCCAGAGGCAACATTTCGGAAGCCGGACTGCTGCCCAGGATGCCGGCCACAAACCTCAGCCCCTGGAAAATCCCTGGGTATCAGTGGGGTTTTTTAAATACCTTTTGGTCTGGGCTGCATTAAAGCAGCGATCCGGCAGGGAAAGCTTCCGTAGCGCATCACGGAACACCTGAGCCCTGCAGCCCTTCACAAAAAGGATAAAGGCAGGGAAAACACTTGGGGCGGTGGCGGGGAGCGAGGGCCCCGCGGCGCCTGCCCCGCCACCGGTCGGTATTTGTGTGCTGCCAAGCACAACCTCCAGCCAGAGGAAGTCTGAGCGACTGAACAAAACGCTGAGTGCTGGAGCTTTTAACACCAGCAGTGCTGGTCGTAGCCGTGCCGGTACTACGGTCTGTTGTGTGCCACCATTTACAGAAGCCAAATGGTAATGACCACCAAAATCCTCCAGGTGATTCACACAGGGCAGATTAATCGATGGAAAAAGGCAGCAAATTCCTGCGACAAAGTTCTTCCTCCCGTATTTGCACGGCCAAACGCCACCCCCCGACTGATTTTTCAGTGCAAACTGCATCTGCCTTAGTATCAACTTTTGCCAATTAAGTAGTTTTGACATTTTGGACTCAGATTAGGAATTAAAATTCCTCAAGTTCGTTCATTCTCAAAACTGAATCTGCAACTGCTACAGCGGATGGAGCACAACCCGAAAAAGGCAGTGAGCGTATTTAGCCTTTTCTAACTACAAAAGGGCCAGGAAACGAAGGTTCGTCTCACAAATGTTCTTCTACCACAATTTTAACCTATAACACGAAAAGAGAAGAATTTCCCTTCAAGTCAAGTCCTTCAGTCTGGCAAAACCAGTCATAGCAAAACCACGTCAGCATGACAGACAGAACGAACAGGTCATACATACCCTTAAGTGACAAATTATTTCTCATGAAATATGAAAATTGACTCCAAAGAGCAATTCTTCCTTTCATGGGAAATTTTGAGAAATTTCTTCGTGAAATGAAATAATCAAACACATTTAATTCCTTAACGTGAAAATATTTCACTATTATAAGTAAATGAAAGTGGAAGGTCAAGATGAGCCATATTGGAAGCAAAATGTTTCAATTTTTCCATTAAAAACCTGATGGAATAGATACATTTCTGCACAAACAGTTTTAGTTAAACCAGCATTTTCCCAGGGGAGGTTTTGACTAGCGGCGTTAATAACCAGCCATCTCCTCCAGCGACTGAACTGGTAAAGGTTACCTCTCCCCTACAACAACCGAGTCTGTTAGTACACAGAGAGCATGAAACTGCCCAATTAAAAGCCGTTATCACCCAGCTTTTGAGGCAAGAGCGCAATCCACTGCGCCACCACGCAAATCACCAGCGGAAGCAGGGATATGCTGGCTGTGCAACACATCATTTTGCAAAACCCAGCTCAGAGCGAACCATAAAGACATGTTCTCAACCAAGTTAATTACAAAAACATCCACCTAGATGAAAGACAGGACTGAATAATAATTTGCGGAAGATGTTTTATATCAACAAGGGCACTACGCAAATTGATCCTCAACACAGAGAAGCAATAAAAAAGAAGAAACAAAACAGATGTTTAAAAGGACAGAACAGTACTTGAGTGACCAGTGAATTTCAGAACTAAATAGCTGTTTAGAAATTAAAAGTTTCATAATGTTTTA